CTAAACAAATGGGACGATACCAAAACCTAAAACTGCGAGCTATGAAGGAGTACAGAAACTATAAGATAGCTACTACATTTTAGCATATTTTGTCATCTAGCCAAAGCAATACTGTAGTATTCAGACATCATTCAAACAAACGTCCGTAAACACGTTATGGTCTTACAGCAATAAGATCATAATGGCTAAGTGGTCTACTCCCTGTAAAGAGCTTTTGTGAGGAGACCTGCCAGAGAAAGAATTCTTTTTTTCTATACGGAAAAAACATTATTATGAAACTCGCTCTTTTAAATTCAGACTGGAATATATATCATTTGAAATGTTAACTTTAAAAATAAAATGATATGTAAATTTCACGTAATTATAAAACAAATGTTGTGGTTTCTTTAATTGTAATCAAGGTACAAACTATTCCCCATTTTCAAAAGTGAGTTATCTCCCCTCAAAATCGGAACTCTTCTACACTAGCCTAACTTCCGCGGACTACGCAATACGATAATTCAACAAAATAGTGATCAACTTACACGCTGTATTTAAAAATTTTAAAAGAAGGAAATGGTTTGCATTTTTTTAGATAATAAATTATTTTATAAAGGGTCTGTTAGCCCCCCCCCCCTTTCTAGAAAGCTATACGAATTAGCCAGGCATGTAGCATCGTCTTTAAAAGGGGGGGGGGGTAGCCAAAGAAATATTTTTTTTCTTACCTGGAAAAGTTGACAAGCGAAGAAAAACCTTGCCCAAAGTTGAAAAAGCTACTTATTTCAGTACCAGTTCCTTGGCATACAATACTACTTTTCCCTTATATAACTTTACCGTAGTATAAACTGTGTGTGTGTGTGTGTGGGGGGGGGTGGCAACCTGTCTATCAATGAAAATTTTCAATAGAAAAAGTAATATTGGGAAAAAGTGGGGCTGGGGCTAAGCCCCTTGACCCCCCCCCCCGTGCGTAAAGGTACAGAGAACGAATGTGCAAATGGGTTGATCAGTTGAATATGAACCATAGTTGTGAAAATTAAAAATTATTAGAATTATTAATTGTGAATTCAATAAAATTACTGTACATATATTTTTTCACAGATGTACATGTATGTCAGTAACACGGGGTCTCTCTCTCTCTCTCTCTCTCTCTCTCTCTCTCTCTTTTACACACTTTAAAAAAATAAATAACACTTGAGAAAAGAATGTTTTCCGTTAATTAACGAGAAATACACTAGGAAATTATTGTATCAATTTCGTGTTTCTCCTCTCAATTCTCTGATCTAAAACAAAATGTGTATTTTACTCGGGAATATACATGTACATATGCTTAGATCCTACACTAAAACTTTGATTAAATGCAGCTTAGACTTTATACGACATATGTAACACGAATTCAGGTCGATGCTATTTTAATTAGTCTTTCTTCGTTCCATGAGCACATAAGATTAAATTATTCATTTAGAATTCCATTCAAAGTTTTAATACTATACAATGAATCAATTATTTTACAAATAAAAAATTCTAGAAACACGGTTAATTCAAATGAAATAGGCCTTTAATTGTCACCAAATGTGTTCTTGTAAGTAAAAGTTCTATAGTATGACATAAAATCGAGCAAAAACGCAGTTTCTTGGTATCGGTCGCGGAAGACGAACTACTGCTGTATATGCAGCAATGTCAGAGGTAAAACTGTAGATGGACATGTCATCAGTCTCCAAAAAATTCCTAGAGATACAAAGAAAATATGGCTGCAGCAGGCTAGATTAATTCTTAAAAACTTTATAACTAAAAATTTGTTCCGCACATTTTGTAAATAATGATGATCCGTCTGCAGAACATCCACTACCGAAAATTAGCTTTTGTTTTTTTTTTTTTTTTTTTTTTTTTTTTAATAGGCCTATTCGAATATGTATCAGCATTTTATCAGTAATTTGTTTCGTTTTTTTTTTTTTGTAAGGGGGGGGGGTCACACAGCACCTTATTATAGAGGGCGGAGCCCTCTCACGGGCCCGAAGGGCCCGTGAGAGCGAAGCTCTCCCTATAGGTAACACGTATGTATATGAAAAATAAAAGAAATCTATTGTAAACTATATGTCATTTACAATACCTATGGAACTGAGATTCTTGTCGCCAATATGGCGTCGTCGCTAAAATGGCGTCGATTTTATCCACGCGCAAATTCTCGTTGTTGATGAGACTCATCAAAGTAAAAAACATTTAACCCAAGGATAATGTGTAGTGATTCTTTTTAACTTCAAATCAAATTCTAGTCTCGTTCAACCAGACCCTCGGCTGTCTCCGTAAATCTCCGACCACCCAGAGGGTCTGGTAAAGATACGTAATATCGTTTGTAACGCCAAAACGAGGCTTACCAAAATTCTGGTAAAGTTTTTGATTGGCTGAAAAGAACACACCTCCATAATTTAAACAAATACATGGTAAATCGACAGAAAAATAACTTAAAGTTTTAAAAGTTAAATGTCTAAAGGTTAAAGCAGAAAAAGAGGAATAATTTTATTGTTTACGGTAATGTCAACGGGTTAAAGGTAAGTGTGCTTTATAAAATGTCTTGTTTTTTTTTTTTTTTTTTATTTCCGGAAGTTAAAGTGAAAGTAGTGCAGCTACCTGCGGAATACATATTTCTTCGATTGATGTTGTAATTACTCGTTTTATGTCCAAAATTAAAGATCAGTTTATCAATATAAACTCACAATCTAACAGAAGAAACATGTTAAATATTCGTTTCAAAAAAAGGTCATCAGAACATAAACAAGATAGCGCCCTCTGACGGTAACAAACGCTTATGTGACTCTTTACCAGACTCTCTGCTGGTCGGAGTTTACGGAGACAGCCGAGCGTCTGGTTGAACGAGACTAATCAAATTCATTAGTACCCTTCCTACTTTCGTTTTAGACGCTTAGGTTTTATTTATAGTTCGCGCTAACAAGTAAAACGGCATTTGATTGGTCAGAATTTCCCTAAAGGCGGCGCTGTCGTCTGCACGATGGAGGAGCGGATCTATCTGTGGCCCCTTTCACAAGAAAATCCTTATTTATTTGCCATTGAATAATACTTGTCAATACATACCAAGCAAGAAATAGAGGGGTTTTTTTTGACAGTATAATTTTTGAACGTTTAATTTTTTTTTAAAAGTGATAAAATAAAATACTCTGTGAAAAGTCTCACAGGGTGTGGATTTCTTTTTTTCTTTTCCTTTTTTTAAGGTATCCAAATTACATGTATTTATGAATATCTACTTGTACATGGATACATAAATATTTAGCAGATCTATGGAAGTCTGAATCTCATTTTTGTTGTGATTTTTTAAAATTTAATATTTTGTTTTATAAAGTTTTTCAAATGACAAAATTTCAGTTTCTTATAAAGATCAGTATTAAAAGAAAAATCTAATACCGGTAGTACGCTGTATGCATTTAAAAAATTCAAAAAGATTTTTTTTTTTTGACAATTTGCAATTACATATTAAGTCTAAATTAAAGCAGGAAAAAATAAGTTAAACAATGTATAATGTACAGTCTGGAGAGGTAGTTGTTCAGTCTACATACATTTTTCAATAAATGCATGAAAATATCCACAAAGTTATATACAAATTCAAAGTGCAGTGCATGCTGTTAATGTATACAAACCGGTACCTATATGTACATTAAAATACTCAAATTTAATACACATCAAGCATATTAATATAGTTTTCAATCTTAATAAATCTGCTTATCTATTAAAAACATGAAGTAAATATTCAGAATCTTTGAATTTATTTTTCTCATAAAAGGTGTGATGCTTCTATATTTTCAACCCTTGTGATAGTAACTCAGTCAGATGTTGGTCTGATGATTAGATTCATCCAGGAAGTAGATCATCTGTCTGTAGTTTGGGTCCCAAGTTCGCCTTCTGACCTGGTCTTGAAAATGATATTGTTCTTACTTTAGATGACATCATAACCATGTAATGGGAGTAATAACAGTTGAGAAATGACTTGAGGTTTCTAGATAAGTGTACAGTTGTTAAATAAGCATATAAACCAAGAAGTGAAAGAAAAAGAATTGGTGCTGAGAAAAAGTTTATGAATTGATTTTTTTTTTTTGAATTATTATTTGTTGGATATAACTAGTATTTTAGTACGAGTTTACTGTTACTTGTATAACTATAAAAGTTTAAGGTGTAGTTGGACCTAGGTGTCTCACATTTCTTTGGCCTGGTATGTTGAACCCATTACTGGTCCAATGGCCCAATGCATGCCCCTCTTTTTTCCCACGACGTTCTTGGACTTTAAGCGCTCTGGCTAGACAACCATTCATCTAATGATGAAATATCTTGCATTATTTGAAAGAAAAGTTATGAGGTACATGTAAGAGATGGGAAAGTTTTTTTCTCAAGAGAACTGAGTTCTTTGTTATGATTTTCTGACACTGACCATAGATCTGCATAAAGCTAACCCTTTGCTTTAGGACTATATGCATTGACAATTTCAGAATTTAACTGATCAACTGATTTATCATTGAACAATAAAATGTAGCAATTTTCTCTTCACGGCTCCGCCCTCACTAACGGTCACACCGTAAAACATATTAGTACTATACAGATTAATACAAATCCAGAAAGAGACTATGAGTGGGCAATTAAAAAAAATACGAATCAGTTAAGATTTCTTTTTATTCACAAACACAATAACATTTTTCCATATGACAGAGGCATTACACCATGAACATATCAAGAACGTCCGCGGAAGTGACTTTATTTATAGCGCATGCGTATTAAACACAGTAAAAGAGTTCCCTTCAGGGGAAATAACTCACCTTTTGAAAATGGGGAATGTAGCTCTATCGAAATTAAGAGGCAAACTCTTTATAATTATTATACTACTACTACTATTATACGTTCCACATCTCTTTATGCTATATAGATAAAAATTTGAATGTACGATTAACCATTTTACTATTGAACTATTTATCATCAATAACCTATCCCTAGTATTTTTTAAGTGTCTCGATCAGTGTTGAAACATGAGAATCAATAAGGTATGTATTAGGTTGCTACATTTTCTTTTTGTTAAAATTCACCCATATTAAAATCCAGATAACCGACATTTCAAAATATAGGGTTTTGAATATTCAAATCTAATTTGTAATCAAAACAAGGATTTTAAAAACATCATTTGCTGTTAACGGGACGTTCCGTCAGCATTTTTTTTTCAATCGGGATCGACATACAGTCGTCGATTATCAAAACCAAATTATAAATAAATCGAATTACAATATATTGTCTTATAATTTTAATCTATGTTTTATGCTTTAAAAAGGTTTTTCCTTTTCTTAATTTAATGTTTGGACAATATTTTCAATATTTTTAACATCAAGATTAAAAAAAATTTCTCAACTTTTGTACCACTTTCGCCGAATAGTCAGACCATATCGCACATGTCAAGAAAGAACTTTCACTTTTCCATCTTGCAGGAATCGAGAAGACCCTACTGGAAATGTCAGACTGTAACTTTGTATCGCAGGACTTGAGCATGGATGGAACAATGAGTGACGATTCTAATTTTGCTAGCACGTCGTCCTGGCCCGGAATCCCCACATCAGAGCCGATGGACGACCAAGACAACGAAGGGGACAGTGAATCCTATTACTTCGAGTCAGACCATCTGGCGTTTCGCGGAAACAGCGATTATAACGCAATGTTGAAAACGATAGCCTTACTAGAGGCACAAAGAATTCAAGCTATAGCAGACATTGAGAAGCTGCACGAATGCATGGACGATGCACTGAAAAGCCCTATTGAATTTGTAAATAAGCTGCAGCATGGTGTAGATTTGGGTTTACCAAAAGCACAGCAGGTTACAGAGCTCCCTGCAATCAACTGGGAGAAATACACAAGTTCTGTTGACTTTTCCAGTTTTGGATTTCCTAAACATGTGACTCGGTTAAGGAAGCAGTTAGTTGAGGGACCAGGCAATCCGGAATGTTTGGATGACTCGGTAAAAGTGGAGGGTAATATGACATTAGTGAGAGGTAGGGTAAAAGGAGACGACAAAACAGAAACATTCAACAAGCTGTGGACAGCAGAGGAACAGAAGAGATTAGAGGAACTTTTGGTAGAATTTCCACCTGAAGAAGTGGAAGCAAAACGATGGGCAAAGATTGCAAATGCACTTGGAAATAGAACACCTATCCAAGTGGCAAGCCGTGTGCAGAAGTACTTCATAAAGCTGGCCAAAGCAGGACTTCCAATTCCTGGGAGACTTCCAAACACTGCTATTCATAGACCAAAGCATTCCCACAGACATCAAAGATTTCAGAAGTTTTACTACCAACCGTCCACATTCCTGACATCTCACGAACCCCCAGTCTACATGTCCGATGACGAGAATAATTCCGAGTCCTTCTATGGCGGTGATGAAGCCAGAGAAAACTTTCTCAGTTCTGGATTTGATAACTCTGACGAGGAAGAAGATCCAGACGAAGATGAACTCATTCCTATCGAACTGAGAAATACACCAGAGTACGAAGAGTTGATGCAACTAAAGAAACTTAAACACCTCAAAATGAAAGTAAAGAGTGAGGCAACCACAAAACACTTTGGCTTCAGATGTGATGGTTGTAATTGTGACCCAATTGTTGGCACCAGGTGGCACTGCCAGGACTGTGATCAAGAGGAGTGTGTGGATTTTTGTGAGAACTGTGTCAACAGGAACATTGAGATTGGACAACATAACTCCAGTCACCGCCTCACAGCCATAACAAAACACCAGGCCGACTACGGGACAGATAACTCCACTCACCATCCAACAGCCCTAACAAAAGACTCCGCGGATAATGATTACGGGACCAAGTCCTTCATGCCAGAGGGATACAACTACTTAGACCCAAATTACATGCCAGCAACCTAGGCCAAAATCACAAATAATAGCTGTATAGACCACTAGTTAGTATTTCTGGAGTAAAGTTTATTTAAATGAAATGTACCAACAGATAATATAATAAATAGCAGACAGCAGTCTGACAGCTTCAATTAAGGTACCAGTAAATAATCGTGTAATATATAATATGTAAGTACTACAGTCAAACCTCGTTATCTCAAACTCAACTGGACCAAAATTAAATCAAGATATCCAATGATTTGAGATAACTGGGTTTAAAGCATGACAAATTTAAGAGATTGGGACTGCAAGCTAACTTTGAGATATTCCTAATTATGGAGATATTGGTGTTTGAAATAACAAAATTCATCTGTATCAGTATGGTTTTGTATGAATTTATGAAGCTGGATGCCTCTGTTTATGACTTTATGTGCTATACATGTGTAGTATAACTTAAAAAGTGTTACATTTCACATTCTTATAACTTAAAGGAAAAACATATACAGTAAAACTCGTTTAGTACGAACACTGATATTGCGAATTCATGGATATAATGAAGTTATCCCCCACTATATGAATTTAATGAATTCTTTATACGGATATAACGAATTACGGATATAGCGAAGTGATTTCATAGGTCCCTGTGACTTCGTTATAACCGAGTTTTACTGTACTAAGTGCAATATATTTACTTTATTAACATCATAAATGTACCAGTATCTGTATTTTCAACATTTTTTGATAACTGTGTTATATCAAATAAATCATAATAAGTTTGTAAGAATGGAGTTCTTCAGTGTGGTAGACATGGCCCGTATTAAGGGGATATTTGTGAGAATTTGGCTCTCGCTGTTCTAGGAATAAGATCACACTTGTTCATCAGGCACTCAGCCATTGTCTGTATACCACTGAGGCAGGAACTCAAATCTGGAGCCAGGGTCCTGAATAGAACAGGTTATCTCTCCTGGGGGTGTCCATTCAAACAAGTAAACTGTCCTACAACACAATGGATGAAAAGGTCACAGGATTATCACAATGTTATGGAGAGAAAAAGGGGTTAAATGACTTGATGATGGTAACTTACTTGGGGTCATCTTTGACACAGGTTTTCTTCACATGAGAGAGAAATTTGTCCAGAAAATTAAAACAAATCACTGGGTCCCAACCATCGCGTTCATTCTGCAAATAGTCAGGACAATACAGTAGAACATTCATTTCACTGCGATCATGAATGTTTTGACTTGGATTAAAAAACTGTCACTGTTTGTATAATTTAATGTTTATCAGTGACTTGCCTTGGCTTGCTGAGGAATTTTCAGAGTTTTCATTTTCTCTAGGCTATGAACTACCCCATCATCGTCACGGTAACCACAGACAATAGTTGGAATACCCACCAGGAAACTCTGGGCCCACCACTTTATTAACTTAAACCTAAAATAGAAATAATGTTAGGCTGAGTATCAAGAGTTATGCCCCTTTTCATACTCTTTCAAGCTTTATGGAGTTGATGTCTGACATCCTACTATATATTGTACGGTCTGTAATACTTAGATCACTTTTTATTCCCAAAAACTATTTTTGCATAATTATGTGAAACTGTCTTCTCGCAAAAATTTAATTATCTCATATAATTCTAATACATGTATTAACAATCATCTAGAGCAATAACCAACATTGGTGAAAATTTTGTTTCCCTTAAAAAATATAGTTTTGGGAAAATTGAGTGATTAACAAGATTCTTGAAGAGATTTTTAACAAACATCATATGTCTTATCCTTACTTGATAAAGTTCCTTTCTTGTCTATAATTATCTAGCTGCCTTGTTGTCTTGAATTCTACATATTTACATGAATCAGCTGCTTGATGATCAATTGCATCAACTTCTCCAGAGAACACTTTATACAGAGAAAAGAAAAATGACCACAAATGAACTAAAAGAAAATGAATGATTAAACATTTTTATAAGTTTGGCTTTATTTAATGTTAAAACATAATATTCAAGCATTTTAATTCTACATTTTCAGAATCTTGAAAGACAGCTAGCTGCTCATCATAATCATTCAAACAGTCTGCATGTTAAATGTCTATATTTAAATGTTTGAGAGTGAAGAACTTAATATTTTTGAAATTGATGAAGGGCCCCAGTTAAACTATGGCAATGAAATTAGCAAATTTTGTTTCATGTTGCTTTTAGAACATTTACAATGCTACCAAAATGCTGAAAACGTTCAGAAGTTTGTAAAGCATGCACTTCAAGGAAAAACAGATACATGTAGTGAAAGGTCATTTAAGTGACCCAGCTAGGTGACCTAAAAAGCTTATATATAGTCAATGCATCACTCCAAGCATACCTTACTACTCCACTGCCTTGGGACAGGTACTTTTTATGCCTGTTTTTCTGTCTGTCTGTTGTCACCTTTTACCTTACCCATATAAACTATTGAGTGGGTGGGGCTGTGGCTTTCATATTTTACAGGTGCATTCCTTGTGACAAGATCTTTCTTTGGGTACCACCAAATTTTGACCTTGATATCTGACCTATTTTTACCAAAAAATACCACACTTTAACGTTTGCCATAACTTTTGAACAGTTGCAGCTAGGGCTTTTATACTTCATATGTGTATTTATTGTGACAAGACCTTTCAGGTGGAATAAATATTTTGACCTTTTGGCCTTGACCTAAGAGTTTGACCCATTAATTAAAAAACTTTAAAAACTTGGTCATAATTTTGGAAGATTAGAACTAGGGCTTTCATATTTCACAAGTGTATTCCTTGTAACAAGACCTTCCTTTGGGTTTCACCTTGACTTTTGGAGTTTGACATGCATTTGTGAGAATTCAACCCTTGTTATAAGCTGCCATACGGGGGCATCAGTGTTTCACAAACTTGTTTGTTAAGAGTCTCACTGTGTCTGTAATTCATGATTTAATCTACTTTTATTGCATTGTACGTGTAGTATAGTTTTAGCATTTCTTTGCAAATATAAGGTACCTGAAGCACTCTCCTTTTATCTGGTATAGTTTTCCAGTTTGTAATAACATGGACATTTGAGTGCAAAAATTATTTGTCATATCTTAGCAAGCAAAATTAACAACCACTAAAGAGACCTGCTTTGTAGTACCTATTTGACAATCATAGACAGAATGTACATTTTTTTGTTAAAGAACACAGTTTAAAGCTGTGATATGGTATTGAAATCCTTGAGTTCCTTACACAGCGAGTGCTTCTCCAGTCTTGATCTGACCACTGTACAGAATGCCTCACAATTATTGACTGGCTCCTCTGTGTTTGGAACACCATCTGATTTATCTGTTGGAGAAAAGCAATTGAATAGCAGAAACTATCACTTACCAAACATAGCATTTTTAAATAATTTGCATAATAGTAAAAAAAAAAAAACAACCATATCTAAGTGATTTAATTTCCATAAGAAGTAGTTATTGAGATCATGTGTTCATGCATTTGCAGATATGTATGGCACGCCAAATTCACAACTAGAAATATGTCCATAGGACATAAATGCCCCGCCGAGGATATATTAGTAAAGCAACATGAAAATTTGTATGTGTATAAAATTTGATCAGTTTGGTTCAGGTAGGGCTTATAGTTACTTGGGAATAAAAATATAGGTCAGATCCAGCATCCAAAGCAAGTCTGGTAGTGTCCATCCCTAGATGCATCATCCATGCAAGTTTGGTTCAGGTAGGGCTTATAGTTACTTGGGAATAAAATATAGGTCAGATCCAGCATCCAAAGCAAGTCTGGTAGTGACAATCCCTAAATGCATCATCCATGCAAGTTTGGTTCAGGTAGGACTTATAGTTACTTGGGAATGAAAATATAGGTCAGATCCAGCATCCGAAGCAAGTCTGGTAGTGTCCATCCCTAGATGCATCATCCATGCAAGTTTGGTTCAGGTAGGGCTTATAGTTACTTGGGAATTAAAATATAGGTCAGATCCAGCATCCGAAGCAAGTCTGGTAGTGTCCATCCCTAGATGCATCATCCATGCAAGTTTGGTTCAGGTAGGGCTTATAGTTACTTGGGAATGAAAATATAGGTCAGATCCAGCATCCGAAGCAAGTCTGGTAGTGTCCATCCCTAGATGCATCATCCATGCAAGTTTGGTCAAGGTACAACAAACAGCTAATGAAGAATGAACCTGCTCCAAAAACTTTAATCTGGTCAGTTATCTGGAAAATGTGGGTCAGATCCAGCATCCGAAGCAAGTCTGGTAGTATTCATCCCTAGATATGCATCATCCGTGCAAGTTTGTATCCACATGTGAAGTTTGATAACACCATCTTGAATGGTATGTTTAAAACTGAGCTAAACACTAATTTAAGAAAAGTGAGGTCAAGGTCAAAGGAAAGGTCAAGGTCGAAAAATGTTGATGCAGTTGCATAGCTCTCATCAACATTTATCAGCATATGAAGTTTGATGAAAATATCTCGGATAGTTTCTTTGAAACTTAGCTTTGAACAGAGCTAAACGCAAAGTGTGACGGAAGACGGAAGGACAGAAGGACGGAAGACGGACATGACAAACACTATATGCCCTGGCCATATTCATGGCGGGGCATAAGAATGAGCTAAACCTAGTTTCACAATTGATAAACTAAGTTTATTGACTGTAAACTATAGTTTACAAACCGTAAACTATGGTTAACGATTCGTTAAGTATAGTTTTCATCTGTAAAACTATATTTAACGGTTGTTAACTATAGTTTACGAATGCTAATCTAAGTTTATCTGTCTGTAATAAAACGTTTACAATATATTTTCTTAATAAACATAGATTCACATCTGTATACTATAATTTAACGATAGTTAACTATAGTTAAGAGTTGTAAACCATAGTTTACAAATCGTGAAACTGTATTTATCAGATAATCTATGTTTTGCGATCTCAAATGATTGTTTTTGGTGTTAAGTATAGTTTACGGTTCTGAAACGTAGATTATCGTGTAAACTATGGTTTACAAATGTAAAATATAGATTAACGTTGTTAACTACAGTTAACAGTCCATAAACTATAGTTTACAACCGATAAACCTAGTTTATCGACTGTGAAACTAAGATTAGCTCATTTTTGTGAATTTGGCGTGCTAAACCTAGTTTCACAATTGATAAACTAGGTTTATCGACTGTAAACTATAGTTTACAAACTGTAAACTATAGTTTACAATTCGTTAAGTATAGTTTTTACCTGTAAAACTATATTTAACGGCTGTTTACTATAGTTTACAAATGCTAATCTAAGTTTATCTGTCTGTAATAAAATGTTAACAATAGATTTTGTTGATAAACATAGATTCACGTCTGTAAACTATAATTTACGATCTTTAACAATAGTTAAGAGTTGTAAACCATAGTTTACAATCGTGAAACTATTTATCAGATAATATATGTTTTGAATCGCAAATGATTGTTTTCGGTGTTAAGTATAGTTTACGGTTGTGAAACATAGATTATCGCGTTAACTATAGTTTACAGATGTAAATTATACATTTACGTTGTTAACTATAGTTTACAGTCCGTAAACTATAGTTTACAACCGATAAAGCTAGTTTATCGACTGTGAAACTATGTTTTGCTCATTTTTGTGAATTTGGCGTGCCATAGATATGAATCTTAAGTTTAAATCAATGTGATATTGTATCATGTGTATAAAAAGTACTAGGTTGTGACAGGTAGTCGGAAATAATACCTACCTGAAGTTACATACTGTTCAAATTTCCAGCCCCAGTAAGACATTTCCTTTTGCCTCTCTGACATTTCTTGCTTCTGACGTTTTCGACTTTCAGTATCAAATTCACACATGTAAAATGTGTCTTTGTACCGAGTCACAGCTATAAGCCATCCGTCCCTGTTTTCATAAGGAGTGCAGAGCAGCTTTGTCAGAAGTCCCCTCCAGCAAACAAAATCAGTATGAATATTCCTGTAATTTAAATCAAGGAATTTTTTTTAGAAATACAATGTATACATGTATGCATGATGTGTGTAAATTTTTTAAATGAATGAATTATTATTTTCTGGGATATAATTTGAAATCATGCCATAGAGGACCTTCTCTGATTTAAAACATTAGAATGACATGGAACATAATACTACTATGATATCACATTTAGTAAATAATTATTATATGTTCTGTTTAATAAATATAGAATATCACACTGCTGTTTTGATCTCGGCCCTGGTAGCATCCCGAGCGGTTGATATCGGCCCAAGCCTGGAGGGCGCAGGCCGAGACCATCCAAGGGCTGATACCAGGGACGAGATCAAAACAGTGGTGTGATGTTGTTTATATCCTATATCTAAAACCAAAGGAAACAACAAATGTTTAGATATTTTTCAATCAAAAAATTTTTACATAATTTTGTCGTAACAAAAAAAAAATTACAGGTACTACAGGTAGTCATCCTCTAAGCTCACCTAATCATTCCCTTTTCTTTGTCTGACTTTTTCTTCTCATCTTCCAACAGAAACTTTTGTCTGTTACAACAGATCCACTTCAATATATCATTGATATACTCTTCTGAATGTTCATCCTTTTCTATGAAATTATCATAACCTTTTCTTAAATCAAAATTAACACTCTCAATGTCTCTTGGTTCTACATAACATTTTAACTGACTCCTGTCATTATGGAAATTCCTTTTTATGTCTAGAGACAAACAGCCTATTTCTGTCGGCTGTCTAAAAAATGGAAAATTGCCCGTTCCTTTAAACAAACTGTTTGGTCTTGTTTTTAAAGAAGTACATGTAGGAGTTTGATCTTGTCTTCGATATTTATTTTTGATGGCCCCACACAAAGGATCGTCCTCTACTTCTCCATACGAACGCTTCATTTCGACCACAGTAAAAAGAATTACATGTCATACACTGATTATTCAGACAAAAAATCATAATTTTTACACATTACCACTTTTTTTTTGTTTGTAACACGTGTTGAAAGTGAAAGTACAATAGCGGAAGTGGATTAATAGCCAATGAAAATTATTTTTTTCTCTTGTTCCGTTCCTTAAATATGGAAGCTTCCATGACATCTCAGTGTCTGCTGGAAACAAAGTTCAGTTACTGAGTTAGCAGACGTTTCATTGTTCTATTTTAAATGAACAAACAGGATTTCCAAAAGTAATTTTTTCGATCAGAACATTCAACCGGCACAGGTTGTGTTTATACAGCTCTGAAGTCCAATAGAAGAACGAGTCAAGTGCGGGTGTGTCTAATCACAGGGTAAACTCCTTTAAGTTTAAGGCTTGTTTTCGGCTTTAAACATGCTGATCTCCAGGTTTTAACTGACATTTGCAATTTCTTACCAATAGAACTGCTATTTGAGTGACATTTAATTGATATTGCTACCTTGCTTGACTTGTTTAACTTATAGCAAGTCAGAATAAAGTCTTCAGGTCTTAACTTTGTTGGGAATAACAAAAGTATTTTGTCAACTCTATATTTTCATTTTTGTAGAATTTAAATTATGTCCAAGAGGTCGATGGTTAATGATCTGTACAAGTCCAGAAAAAGAATCTGCACTGCCTCCCGTTCCTCTGCCATAGACACACCTGAGTTTAATGATGGAGTGAATGGAACTTCATTCTCCAGTACGAACCAAACAATTTCTTTGGTCACCCTTTCTTTTATCAGCAACACACTGAAGCTTAGAATCTGGCTTGCATTTCTTGAGATATTATTTACTATAATTGTAGATTAAATGAATAAGGCTTCATGCATGTACAGAAATTATAGCTTGTCTAAATATTGATCCTGTCATAAGGCCATAATAAATATTCATCCCTGTCCGCCCCGATTTTTTTACTCCAGCCTCGATTTTTTTAATTTCTGTTTTTCTTCGTCTTAATTCTGATCAGGATTGGTATTCAACTGCCATTCAACTTTTGTTTTAAATCCCGTGAATATCGGCATGATTTTGACAGCTGAAAAGATGGTAATTGCTATAATATCAGTTAAACTAGGGTCGTTGGTTTTGAAAGATTGGTGATGACAGGGTTTGAAATTAACAGTCGCCCACTCGCCATTTGCGACCAATATTCCTTGTGGGCGACTTAAAATTATGTTCAAGTACCCACATGGCGATTAGAAAATTTACGTTGATAAATATTTGTTTTTTAATTTTGTCCGAATGTTCCTTTTTTTCTCTTGAAATTTTCGTAATCAGCAAAGTGCTTTATATTTACCAGTGAGAAGTACTTAAACATAAAGCGTCTGAGTGATTGTGACGACGAATGTGACATTGACGCGTCAATGAGCCCAACAAACCAAAACGTATCTTGGTTGTGTCTGTGAAGAAATCTGCCATGTGCTTGAATATATGATGTTTAATAACCATTTCAATCTTTTTAAACAAAAGAGGACAATTTGAAATTAAGATAAGTCATGCACAATGTTTCTACGGATAGAAAAGAAACACGAGTCATATGATAAAAAAAAAATAACGAAAAATGGGGTTGTTGTATATTTATTCAACAGAAGGTGTGATAATTTGTGGGCGAATAAATTTTGATGTGGGCCCCAGAATTGCAAGGTTTAGTAGCCCACATGGCGATCAAAGATTACAAGTTAGTTTAAAACCCTGTGATGATGTGTAGTAAGAGATAAATGGACCTCTACCATGACTTTTATTTGGGTATTATAGATAAATCTGCACCAAATGAACAGGTGAATAAAAATTCTGCAAAATGGAAAAAAATATAAAATAAAAGCTGCCCGCCCACCTCGATTTTTCAAAAAATTCGGATGAGACTCTAGGAATTTTTTTATTATGGCCTAAACTTGTTAATACTGAAGAAAATGATACACATTTCATTTCAACTTTTGTTTTTATTAGCTGCTGAGATACCCTCTGACACTAAAGTATCTCTCCTCCATCTCAAAGAGTTATTTCCCTTAGATAAGTTTGAAGGAAGATTACCGGCAGTGATAGTGAAACATCAGCTATACAGCTTACTGAAGGATAGGACAGCCGTTGATAAACAATTAGTAAGTCTTACACAAAAAGATAGGGCAGTCATGGATAAAAAGTTAGACTAAACAATTAGACTAAGTCTTACACAAAAGGATAGGCAGTTGCGATAAACAATAAGTGAGTCTCAAACAAAAGGACAGGGCAGTCGTCGATAAACAATTAGTAAGTCTTACACAAAATATTCAACACTTTTTCAAGGACAGCTGTTGATAAACAACTAGTAAGACTTGCAGATTACATATTTTTCCTCAGGTGATGTAAAACAAGTCTTAGACTTAATGTTGATATAAAAATAGCTGATTTTTGATAACAAAAGACAAGACAAAGAACAAACAAACAAAATTTTTGATTGCACAACCCTGAGGCCAATTCAGCAGAGTGAACATTTTCGAGCGCTTCACAAAATTCCTTATACCTCCAAAAGTAATTTTGGCAAGCACTCGCGAACGTTCGCTCCGCAGAACAGGCCTCTGGTGAAGTACTTTGATTTTTTTCAGGATGATTTAAAACAAGCCAATGAGATTAAGCTGTTCAAGCTTGGTGCTGAGTTAGATGACTATTGTATTGTGTTCACTGAGGCATATCGAGATCATGTGATCAGTGTGATGAAAGAACTCTCCATCAGCAAAAATATTTGTAGTAAGTAGGTCAAATTGGACTATTGTAAACTTACATATAAAATAACTAGCTAAGAATGATGAGGCATATTTACTAATTATTTAGTTGCATTTTAGAATGTCACTGTCTATAATGATACTAAAATGACAAGTGCCTATGTGTACATGTATATCAATATGACTTTTGCAGATAAATATGTGAATACTGTCATCAAGAAATATACAGATGTCTGCATCAACAAAGACACTTTGATGAATGAATTCAGCTTCACTGACTCAGAAATTACGTAAGAGATTGTGATATTGTTGTATTATGATAAGTAACATTCAGATCAAGAACTGTAAACTGTGTAAATTCCAGGCAGATGGTTAAGGCCTCTTTTCTTGTGTTACAGTACTGAACATATAATAAATTTGTGTTGCAGTACTACATGTAGTAACATTTAGATATATAAGTTCTTAAAGCTATGTTAATTCCAGGCAGCTGGTTAAGGTCTCTGTTGTTGTGTTACAGTAACATTCAGATATATAACTGTAACCTATGTTAATTCCAGGCAGCTGGTTAAGGCCTCTGTTGTTGTGTTACAGTAACATTCAGATATATAACTGTAACCTATGTTAATTCCAGGCAGCTGGTTAAGGCCTCTGTTGTTGTGTTACAGTAACATTCAGACATATAACTGTAACCTATGTTAATTCCAGGCAGCTGGTTAAGGTCTCTGTTGTTGTGTTACAGTAACATTCAGACATATAACTGTAACCTATGTTAATTCCAGGCAGCTGGTTAAGGCATCTGTTGTTGTGTTACAGTAACATTCAGATATATAACTGTAACCTATGTTAATTCCAGGCAGCTGGTTAAGGCCTCTGTTGTTGTGTTACAGTAACATTCAGACATATAACTGTAACCTATGTTAATTCCAGGCAGCTGGTTAAGGTCTCTGTTGTTGTGTTACAGTAACATTCAGACATATAACTGTAACCTATGTTAATTCCAGGCAGCTGGTTAAGGCCTCTGTTGTTGTGTTACAGTAACATTCAGATATATAACTGTAACCTATGTTAATTCCAGACAGCTGGTTAAGGCCTCTGTTGTTGTGTTACAGTAACATTCAGATATATAACTGTAACCTATGTTAATTCCAGACAGCTGGTTAAGGCCTCTGTTGTTGTGTTACAGTAACATTCAGATATATAACTGTAACCTATGTTAATTCCAGACAGCTGGTTAAGGCATCTGTTGTTGTGTTACAGTAACATTCAGATATATAACTGTAACCTATGTTAATTCCAGACAGCTGGTTAAGGCATCTGTTGTTGTGTTACAGTAACATTCAGATATATAACTGTAACCTATGTTAATTCCAGGCAGCTGGTTAAGGCATCTGTTGTTGTGTTACAGTAACATTCAGACATATAACTGTAACCTATGTTAATTCCAGACAGCTGGTTAAGGCCTCTGTTGTTGTGTTACAGTAACATTCAGATATATAACTGTAACCTATGTTAATTCCAGACAGCTGGTTAAGGCATCTGTTGTTGTGTTACAGTAACATTCAGATATATAACTGTAATCTATGTTAATTCCAGGCAGCTGGTTAAGGCCTCTGTTGTTGTGTTACAGTAACATTCAGATATATAACTGTAACCTATGTTAATTCCAGGCAGCTGGTTAAGGCATCTGTTGTTGTGTTACAGTAACATTCAGATATATAAATGTAATCTATGTTAATTCCAGGCAGCTGGTTAAGGCCTCTGTCCTGACAGTTAGGGATGTAGGGAACTGGTGGATCGCTCTACCAAATGCTGGGGTCTTCATGAAGTGTTTCTTGCGAGGAAGAAAGGCCATTCTGACAATGATAAGGAAATGTAAATACCGGGAGATCCTTCAAACGGTTAGTAAAAATAGAAATACCAGGAGATCCTTCAAATGGTTAGTAAAAATAGAAATACCGGGAGATCCTTTAAAATGGTTAGTAAAAATAGATACCAGGAGATCCTTCAAATGGTTAGTAAAAATAGAAATACCAGGAGATCCTTCAAATGGTTAGTTAAAATAGAAATACTGGGAGATCCTTCAAATGGTTAGTAGAAATAGAAATATCAGGAGATCCTTCAAATGGTTAGTAAAAATAGAAATACCAGGAGATCCTTCAAATGGTTAGTAAAAATAGAAATACCGGGAGATCCTTAAAAATGGTTAGTAAAAATAGAAATACTGGGAGATCCTTCAAAACGTTAGTAAAAATAGAAATACTGGGAGATCCTTCAAATGGTTAGTAAAAATAGAAATACCGGGAGATCCTTAAAAATGGTTAGTAAAAATAGAAATACCAGGAGATCCTTCAAACGGTTAGTAAAAATAGAAATACCAGGAGATCCTTCAAATGGTTAGTAAAAATAGAAATACCAGGAGATCCTTCAAATGGTTAGTAAAAATAGAAATACCGGGAGATCCTTAAAAATGGTTAGTAAAAATAGAAATACTGGGAGATCCTTCAAAACGTTAGTAAAAATAGAAATACTGGGAGATCCTTCAAACGGTTAGTAAAAATAGAAATACTGGGAGATCCTTAAAAATGGTTAGTAAAAATAGAAATACTGGGAGATCCTTCAAAACGTTAGTAAAAATAGAAATACTGGGAGATCCTTCAAACGGTTAGTAAAAATAGAAATACCGGGAGATCCTTCAAACGGTAAGACTGTGGTACATGTATTGAAATGGAAAAGTCATGCAAATAAATAATATAATATTAAATTCAAAACTTTTGATTCACTTTAAGTTAGATGTTGCCTAGGGATTCAAATTAAATAAGAGATGTTTGTAAAACACTTATGCCCCCCTCCTGGCCTTCCCAAAATGATTGGAATTTTTCTACGTTCAAGAGGCATAAATCTATCCAAAATGGATCAGTCATACCCAAATAGAATTTGACCTAGATATTCTCATGATAAATCTGTATACCAAATTTCGTTTCAATATAAGCAACCTTACTTCTGCAAAGAAAATGAACGAAAACTGCAAATAGCGTAATTTTTTTCTAAGTCCAGGCTGCATAAATCTGTACAAAATGGCCGATCGTACTTAAAACAGAGCTTGACCTAGATATTCTCATGATAAATCAGTACACCAAATTTCATTTCAATATGTGCAACCTCTGCAAATAAAATGAATTGAACAGAAAGTGCAAATAATTGGAATTTTTCTAAGTCCAAGGGGCATATCTCTGTCCAAAATGGCCTGATTGTACCCAAAACAGAAATTGACCTAGATATTTTTAATATAAATCTGTATACCAAATTTCAATTCAGTATACTAGTATGCAACATCTGTGGAGAAAATGAATGGAAACTGTTGGAGGACTGACAGACAGACCGACTGGCCGACAGACGGCAGCAAAGCAATATACCCTCCCTTCTTTGAAGGGGGCATAATACATGTGTAATAAACTCTAGAAGTCAAATGTGCTAGTATGTTTTTGCAAACATATCTTGTTCACTTTAACATCATAAACACAAAAGATATCAAAATATGGTGGTGCTGATAAAGTATGTTGACAACATACCTTCTAACAATAAAAACTTTGATATGCGATCCTGTAAATGAAAACTAGAACAATTTTGAAAAACAATGTGTTGCAAAACCAGTTGCAACTCTCCTCTACCATGATTATTCAACAGTACAAGAAAAAAAGAGCTGCAGTCTTCTCAAAGACTTGTCTGATTTAGTTTGATCTACTTTTATTTAAACATAGGAATTGGAACAAAGGAAATGGCCTAAGATTTGTAAGCTTGGACTCCAGTATCACATGCATGAAGTAATTGGTGCTGATCTCATCAAGTGGTAAATTGCTTTACACACATTTTTTTATTTAAAAAAAAAGCTTCTAGCTTCAAATGTCAATGAAGTTTTTAACATTTAAAGCTAAAATCTGTAGTATTTGGGAATTTTTCACTCTTGAAGTTTATTTCAACATTTACTAAACTTCCTTTTTTTTTCTCTGTTTTTAGCATTCAAACAACCTCAGGACAATTACTCCGTCTCAAGGATTCCTAGTCCTACAGGAATCTCATCTAATGGTTGCTCCTGTGGAATTTCCTAGTCCTACAGGAATCTAATGGTCTCTTCTGTAGGATTTCCTAGTACTACAAGAATTTCATCACATGGTTGCTCCTGAAGGCTTTTCAGTGCCATCTCTTGTACAACAATGCTGTGATAGACACAGGAATCAATGGCAGATTTATTATAAGTAGCTGAATCTATGTGAAAAAAGCAACGATCACATTATTTATTGATATTATAGATTTTTGAGGTCATTATTATTTATTTTACCCATTGTCTTTCTATACATGTTAATTGATTTTTAGCTCTACTGGTCAGAGACCAGAAGAGCTTATGCGATGGTAATGCGTCCGTCGTCCGTCCGTCTGTCTGTCTGTCTGTCTGTCTGTCCGTCTGTCTGTCTGTAAACAATTTTTCAAAATGCTACTCCTCCTACAGTTTTGGTCTGATTTTAATATAACTTGGCACACAAGTAGACTACACTAAGATACATAATTCTGTGTATCGGTTTTTGATTTCGATGAACAGTGTTGCCGTGGTTACTAAAAATAGAAATTTCTGTGAAATTCTTTCAAAATGCTACTCCTCCTACAGTTTTGGTCTGATTTCAATATAACTTGGCACACAAGTAGACTACACTAAGATACATAATTCTGTGTATCGGTTTTTGATTTCGATGAACGGTGTTGCCGTGGTTACTAAAAATAGAAATTTCTGTGAAATTCTTTCAAAATGCTACTCCTCCTACAGTTTTGGTCTGATTTCAATATAATTGGGCACACAAGTAGACTACACTAAGATACATAATTCTGTGTATCGGTTTTTGATTTCGATGAACGGTGTTGCCGTGGTTACTAAAAATAGAAATTTCTGTGAAATTCTTTCAAAATGCTACTCCTCCTACAGTTTTGGTCTGATTTCAATATAACTTGGCACACAAGTAGACTACACTTAGATACATAATTCTGTGTATCGGTTTTTGATTTCGATGAACGGTGTTGCAATGGTTACTAAAAATAGAAATTTCTGTGAAATTCTGTCAAAATGCTACTCCTCCTACAGATTTGGTCCGATTTCAATGTAACTTGGCACACAAGTAGACTACACTAAGATACATAATTCTTTGTATTGGTTTTTGATTTCGATGAACGGTGTTGCCGTGGTTACTAAAAATAGAAATTTCTGTGAAATACTCTCAAAATGCTACCCCAAATAACAGTTTTAGTCTGGTTATAATATAATGTGACATGCAAGTAGACAACACTAAGAACATAAAGAGACGTAATCAAGGATCATTATTCTATTTATTGCTGTTGAAAAGTTTCAATTTCTAACTGCTTAAGTACTTTTCTCTTCCTTTGCTATAAGTACAAACCAGTTGAGCTTCAGTCTCGACAGAGACTTCTGGTTGTTAATGAGCTAAAATGTTTATGAATATTTCCTATTTATATACAACCTGTACTCAATGAATCTGACCCAGACTGAAGAGGGCTTTATTTATGATCTAGCTATGGCTCTATTTTGGTTGTACAGTGAATGTGTGATTATGATAAGGGGTATTTAATTTTTCTTCAAACAATTTTTTTTTTCAGTTGAACAGATGCCTCATGCTTGGCAATGTTTCTTAGGTAATGTCAGTCTGATGATCTCTCTGTCATGTCTGTATGAATATTTACAAGATGTACTCTTTTTACATTGCTTAGTCTAATTTCAAGAAAATTTATTAAAAACTAGTTTGCAAGAAACAGATTAAATTTATGCAATTATTCCTTTTTATTAAATGATGTTAAAATTGTTTTTCATAAATACAAAATACAGTAAGACTTGTTTAGTATGAATGTAGATAAAACAATGGATATTAAAAAGTTATTTTTTTTGATCCCCTGCAAACTTCTTAACAAGTGTCCATTTTGCAATTGAATTTTCTTGTTGTAACAAACTCTTACAAAACAAATTTACATAATCTAGCAGATTTATTTTGGGCCTGTAGAGGTTAAAAGTAATGGCATTTATTTAAGAAATAAAGTTAGCAGAAATAGAGACGTCAAACTGGCTTTACTTCCCTGTTTATTGATTTATATTGACAACTCAACAGTTACATGTATTCTCCAAAATTACCCTGGTATTACAAATTTCAACCAGAAGACCAATTTTGACAGAGAAACTCAACAGTTAATTCTTCAAAATTTTTATAAATTTTAACCAGATTTAACCAGGTCTCAGCAGAGGTAGTGGTTCCTGATTAGGGTTGAGAATTTATTGCCTTGTGTTCTGAGTATTTAAAACCCTTTAACATTTCTTAATTGTAAATCGATGTATTTTTATAGTTTAATTGCAAAACTGTACAATGAAAATCATGACATCCATGTCCTTTTTGTTTAATGTGGATGATGCAGATTTTTTATTATGCAATATTTTAACATTGTAAGTCATATTTTGTATCATTCTTAGGATTCTACCTCAGTTAATGTGTTGATATTAAATCTATATTTATGTAATAGATAGCAAAATTACAGGAAATTAAGAAGCTTTCAAATTTCTAACATTTATCATGTTTATACTGCCATATATTCTGCCTCATATTCAAAAATATTTTTTTCCACTTCTTTATATGTGATGAAATTTGTTTTTAAATTACTTTGTACGTGTACCATGTACATGTACAATGTAGTAAAAATGAAATGAGTGTTTTTTAATGTTGATCAGATGTGTATTTTATAATGTAAATGATATTAACTTTGTTTCTAAGATATTGTTCTTTTGTCAAAGTTTTGTTCAACATGAGCCTTAAAGAAAGGCGATGTTTTATTCTACATGCCTGCGAAGAGAAGGGTAATGAATATCAATAATTATACATTGTACTTTCATTTTAAAGTTTACAACTGAAATAAAATTTGATGAATTAATTATTGTTTTGTTTTATTGGTTTAATTAATTCTGGACATTTTGCTTATCGAAAGGATTAAGTCTTTGATATCTCCACATGAAGGAAATTTCAATTAATATACATGTAGGTATAAGTGGATCAAGTTAGGATATATGTACTTTATTCATTTTTGCTGCCAACCCCTTTAAAAAAAATGAAAAAGAAAACCAAATATTGAACAATGTTATGATTCCCAAATATCACTCCTTATACTTAATATAGCTATTTTTTTTTTTTATTTTTTTTTGCTAATTTTATAAATGACTAGATTTCTTTTTAATATGTACAAGCCAATTATTTTTTTGTTGAAATTATAACATTTATATTGTAAAGAGATCACTTAGTTAATTGAATTTCGAGCACGTGTTATTCGATCTCTGTTTTTACTCTCAACACCAACATTTTCGTTGAATAGCCAAACCATGTTCAGTCAATCGCAACTACTCGGTCATTTTCCTTTAAACAAATGTCATGTAATGAAATGACCGAAGAGTTACGATTGCACAATCGAGACCGAAATTCCTCGATGCCCATGAAAGGTGAGAGAGTTTAGCATGCTTGATGCTACAGTATATTCAGTTGATATTATTCTCTATTTCTATACAAGAAATATTTGTTTATGGTATCATACTTGATGGTATTATCTTTATCTTATGAACAGATCATGACACAGAGACAGATTTTGACGTGTTTACGAAATTTATTATCAAGAGATGTTGGCCATGCAGTGAAAAGAAAAGCTCTTGTTGCAAATGCAAGGTGTGTATTAATCAAGTAGAACAAAAAAAGATTGAGATGTCATTTGCTCTTTTATTGATTGTACAGGCTGTAAGATCCACAGGTCTCTGAAATTCTATCAGTACATCATATGATAGATCAGAGCATTGCTGCATTGACACTCCCTATCTTAATTGTTTAAAAAAAAAAATGCATCTACTTTTAGTATAGAAGATGTAAATTTGTTAAACAATTAAGATAGGGAGTGCCTATAGATCAGAATGATGTATATATCCCGCTATGTATAAAAACCCCAGGTGCATTTATTAATGGTTTATTGATAGAAATCCAGAGGTCTGCATAAGATCTTAGTTTGCCACAATCAGGGACTTCTGACTTACAAGTCGAACATAGGACCCCTCTTCTAAGGTGTTCTCCTGAATATTCTTTTCGGAGAAGTGGACGGGGAGTCCAGTATAGGACCCCTACTCTAAGGTGTACACTCTACTGAATATTCGATCTCTTTTGCAGGTATTTAGGACACAATGTGTAGATGTGCATATTACCAGGAAATAGATACCTGGAAGGGGAGGTCCAGTATAGGACCACTACTCTCAGGTGTTCTACTTTGAATATTCTAGATGTGCAGGGAAATTCTGTGGACAGGTTTTTGCCTGCATCCAGATGTAGACAAAAGCCCGTCTACTCCTCTTCTGTCCTTTCATCCTTCATCATTCTATCCTATCATCCTGCTTTGCATTTAGTTCAGTTCAAAGCTTAGTTTCAAAGAAATTATTCAAGATAATTTTATCAAACTTCCTATGCTGATAGATCTATATTGATGAGATCTACCGGTATGCAACTGAAATGATATTTGTTTACCTTGACCTTTCCTTTGACCTTGACCTTTCCCTTGACCTCACTTCTAAATTTTGCATTTAGCTCAACTTTGACCTTGATCTAAGTTTTCTTGAATTAGTGTTTAGCTCAAATATAAAGAAACTATTCAAGATATTCTCATCAAATTTCATACATTAATACAAAATTTCATGATGCATTACTAATATACACTCATTAACCACTGGAGCATGCATGTCCTATGGACATGTTTCAAGTATATATTATATTTTGGATTCTTCAATTTTAATGTTAATGTCATCTGTGGAAGAGACAAATGATTGAATGGTATTTGTTCAATATTTGTTCCACTGTCAGCCAGACAGATTGATTAGTAGAGCACCTGTCAAAAGTTAGAGAGCTTTTTCTTTGAACCCCCTTTCTTCCCTTCCTGTTGTTCATAAAAACCTGCAAGAGAAGCACTTTGTAAGATTTAAGTTTCATTGATTATGAATATCAATGTTAAATATCTGGTGCTTGTAGATTCAGTAAAAGGTTCCATTGATACCAATCAAAAATTAATTCCCCATCCACACACCCCTTCGTAAAAAGAAATAAACTAAAAAATTGAAAAGAAAACAAAATCTTTTGAAAACATGGGGTAACAAAATGTGTTTATGATACACTGATGCCCCTTTATGGCAACTTATGTCAAGGGTTATATTTTCTTAAATGCATGTCAAACTTCAAAGGTCAAAGTCAAAAGGTCAGAAGTATTGATACCCAAAGGAAGGTCTTGTTACAAGGAATACAACTATGAAATATGAAAGCCCTAGTTCTAACTGGTAAAAAGTTATAGCCAAGGATAAAGATTTTAGAAAGTGGGTCAAACTCTTAGGTCAAGGTCAAAAGTTCAAAAATATTTATACCCACTTACAGGTCTTGTCACAATACAAATGTGAAGTATGAAAGCCTTAGCTGTTATGGACAAGGTTAAAGTGTGGTATCTTTTTATGAAAGAAGGTCAAATTCCAAGGTCAAGAGGTCAAATTTTGATGGTACCCAAAGAAAGGTCTTTTCACAGGAATACATCATTCTGTGAATAATGAAATCCATAGTGCCATCCCAGGGATCAACATTAACGGTTGTCCGATTACCCATGACAAGTAAATCATCAGTTCAGGCAAGTGAAACCGTCGATGTACTTGTCCGATCGGGCAAGTGGATATTCCTGATAGAAAAAAATTTTTAATCTTACATTAGTTTATAAAGAAAACAATAATTTGAACAGTTGATTTCCGCCAAAAACTTAACATTGTTTTTGCATTCGGAATTCCTCGGTAGCGTTTCTGGATCATGCCTGTACCTTTATTTATAAATCAGGTTCGTTATTCTGTTTTCTTTTGTAGTTTTCAAAAAATACAGTCTCTGTCTGACAACTTATTATGAACTTAAGTTACATTCTTATGAAATATATATAATAAAATAGTTTATTTACTTACTTACAGAATATAAAGAACACCAGTTGTTCTCAATGCATGATGTATTTTGATTCAAAACATGGTAACTGTTTTCCTTGAAGTGTGACCTCAATAGCATGGGGGGGGGATTAAATTTGCAAAAAAAAAAATTGTAAGGAAATATTATTAGTGCATTCACTGCATTGCTGTGTGTGTTAACAGGAAAGTTAAAGACAGGAAAGTTGTTTACATATATTTACAAAATGTAGCATCATCGTCATATGGAAAAATGATTTTTTTTTCCCCCCCCCCCCCCCCCCCCCCCCCGGCAGTTAAGTTTTAAATAGAAATTAATTTGTATAACTCTTTGTTATTTACAGTAACAAATTAAGATACAGTAACTGGTATTTTTTCTTTAAAATTTTGGGCAACCAAGTTTTGCATTCAGACAAGTCAAAATTGTAGTTCACTTGCCAGAAGGACAAGTGAATGGAAAAGTTAATGTCTATCCCTGCATCCTTTGAAAAGTTATGGGCAAGGTTAAAGTGTTTGCGGACAAGAAGACAGACAGATAGACAGAAAGAAAGACAGACGGACGGGACAAAAACTATATAACCCTGAAACTTCATTTACAGGGTCATAAAAAAGTGAAATCTTTATTATGTAGTGTTTATTCATGTTTGTTAAAATCATGACCCCTGTGGGTAGAACAGGCCACAGAGGATGATCAATGGGGGTAGGGTTGGGTCACAGTGGATGATCAGTTTTACAAAGGACTACACACTATAAGAAAAATCTTCTTTGCAAGATTATTAAGGCAATGGTTGGACATATTGTTATGGAAGCATCCTCAGGTAGTACACATGTAGATTCAAATCATCAACCTCCAACACCCCCCTCCCCCTTTCACCTTTAGGGGTAGGTTTGGACCACTTATGTAATTGAACTTTTCAATACTGAACTGATTAATGCTTTTTCTTAGGGAGCCACAGTGCTCAGGTAAGCATTGTGGCTAAAGGGCCTCTTGTTCATTTTAAACTTTCTAGTAGAAAGGGTAATAAATGTACTTGTAAAAAGAAGAGTTATTTACAACCTGAATAGTATTACTATAACAAAATGAACAAAGAATCAGTATGATTCTAATCAAAAGATTCTTAAACACATTTTTGGACATGTAAGTGTATTAATGTTCAATTAATATTTATTCTTCTTTTTCCGTTTAGTTTACTGCAGAACAGCTGTGTTAGAAACTATCACCAGACAAAGTCGTTAATGTTCTACAATAGATTTAAAAACCGAAAAGAAGTGAAAAAGAAAAGTAAGGAAGATGAAGAGGAGAAGGAGATAGACGCCAAACTGGTGGAGGATAAAGTGAAAGAACTCGACATCGTCGCAAAAATCCCCTACAAAATCAACGTGGCCACATTTGAGAGCAAGACAGATAGGTTTGTGAATAGAATATTTAATCAAGTGGAACAAAGTGGTGAAAAAAACCAGGAAACTTTCAACACTGCTGTTAAGATTTACAAACTGAATGCAGGACTGTACATGAGAGGGCATATAGAGTTTGGAGAATTAGCCCTCGGTAAACTTGAGGAATATGAACTGCAGTATAATCTGGAAGTCTACAAGGTGATATTCAGTATATTTCCGGAGGGGAAGTATCTACCTACGTCTAAGATTGCTGCTGAATTTACACCATTCCCACGGCAACAGGATGCTGCACTGCAGATATTAACAAAAATGTTTGATAATGGTAGCTTTCTACTTTTTATTTCTATATTAAAACTTAGAATGAATAAATAGATAAGTCAGAGTAAACTGATGTTTTTCAAATTATCTATTTTTATTATTATTTAATTTTTAGCTCTACTGGTCAGAGACCAGAAGAGCTTATGCGATGGTAATGCGTCCGTCGTCCGTCCGTCTGTCTGTCTGTCTGTCCGTCTGTCTGTCTGTAAACAATTTTTCAAAATGCTACTCCTCCTACATTTTTGGTCTGATTTCAATATAACTTGGCACACAAGTAGACTACACTAAGATACATAATTCTGTGTATCGGTTTTTGATTTCGATGAACGGTGTTGCCGTGGTTACTAAAAATAGAAATTTCTGTAAAATTCTTTCAAAATGCTACTCCTCCTACAGTTTTGGTCTGATTTCAATATAACTTGGCACACAAGTAGACTACACTAAGATACATAATTCTGTGTATCGGTTTTTGATTTCGATGAACGGTGTTGCCGTGGTTACTAAAAATAGAAATTTCTGTAAAATTCTTTCAAAATGCTACTCCTCCTACAGTTATGGTCTGATTTCAATATAACTTGGCATACAAGTAAACTACACTAAGATACATAATTCTGTGTATCGGTTTTTGATTTCGATGATCGGTGTTGCCTTGGTTACTAAAAATAGAAATTTCTGTAAAATTCTTTCAAAATGCTACTCCTCCTACAGTTTTGGTCTGATTTCAATATAACTTGGCACACAAGTAAACTACCCTTAGATACATAATTCTGTGTATCGGTTTTTGATTTCGATGATCGGTGTTGCCTTGGTTACTAAAAATAGAAATTTCTGTAAATTTTTTTTCAAAATGCTACTCCTCCTACAGTTTTGGTCTGATTTCAATGTAACTTAGCACACAAGTAGACTACATTAAGATACATAATTCTGTGTAGCGGTTTTTGATTTTGATGAATGGTGTTGCCGTGGTTATTAAAAATAGAAATTTCTGTTATATACCCTCAAAATGCTACTCCAAATACAGTTTTAGTCTGATTATTATATAATGTGGCATGCAAGTAGACAGTGACTACACTAAGAACATAATGAGACTTAATCAAGGATCATATTATTCTCTTTATTGCTGTTGTAAAGTTTCAGTTCCCAACTGCTTAAGTACTTTTCTCCTCCTTTGCTATATAATAAGTACAAACCAGTAGAGCTTCAGTTATTTCAGAGACTTTTTTTAAAAAGTCTGCATTAAGTCATTAAGACAAAAATAGTTGTGTTTCACAATGTTATTTTTTCATCATTTAAAATTCATACAGTGTAGAAGTTGCAACAAAGAATGAATGCACTTATCATCTATTCATCATCTATATTCACAGGTGTTATACCAGATGAAGAATTCGGCAGTATGATAATATCCAGATTTTCCCAAAGATCCAAAGTCTTTACCCGGTTCCTGAGGATGCTGTATTGGATGCCCAAGTTTAAGTACATGAACCCCTGGCCCATCCCCCGACCCCCTCCTAAGGACCCCATACAGCTGGCTGTCCTGGCTCTCAAGAGAATGAGTTTTGATTTGGAAACCAAGGTTACAGTTGTGAATGTAAGTTTACTTAACAAATGATATGCATTAAGTTGCTTCAAAGATAAAAAATATATTTGATTCAAAAATTATATTCATTTAATTGATTTAAGATTAGATTCATTTGATTGATTTAGAAATGATATTCCTTAACAATGTTGGACTTCTTTACTTACAATGGAATACCTCTATGTACAGTCAAACCTGGGATTTGATTTGACCAAAAAAATTAAGACCAAAATTTAAAACTGCTTATAATTCCCTCATGTATATTAAATAGAAAATGGCTTGGTACATGTATATAGAAAGCTACTTTTATGCTAGCAATTTTTAACAAACTAATTAATTTTGCAAAATTTTACAATAAACTGAAGTTTTATGCCTCAGTTGTAAGTTCTTTTGTGAAACAGCCCCTGGTTAATGCAAACTCCACCCAGATTAATTTTCAAGATATTTGAGATAACAGGGGTAAAAAATTAAAGAAATGGAGGTTGGGACTGCCAAGGCACTTTGACATACCGTATAAGTGGAAATTTTGGCGAGACACAAATTTAGCGATTTGACCTTAAAAACTGGTATTTTATTTTTAGCGAGATGTAAGTTTAGCGATTTTCAAAAGCTCACTAAAGAAGTTATTACAAATAAAGCGCAATTAATTTTTAGCGATATCCAATTTTAGCGATCTTGGGACCCTTGCTAATAATGCCAAAATTAAATCCTCGCCAAAAATTCTGCTTATACGGTATCCCTGGTCCCAGAGATATCAGTGCTCAAGATAATGAAGTTCAATTGTATTTTGCAGATTACTTAAAAAGTGTTACAGCTAAGCTTTGTTTACCGCAACATGTTATGACTTTCACAATTTTAAATTCATAATTTTTATGCTTGATAGCCTAGATTTGAACAAATCTACCTTAGTCCTCTGTCTAGTATATTCATGGATTGGGGATTTTATTTCAGTGTTAAACCATACATTTTCTCCTTTTCTGACACAATTGCAGAATTTAAGATAAGACATTATGTTGAATATTGTTAGGATTCAAAAGAAGGTGAGACCTCATCAATAAGGAGTGGTAAGTTTATAGCCAGTGCCCAGAGTCCTAAACAGAGGGAACTGCTCTCCCGACATCCATCATCTAAACCCATCATAGTGGAGGGGGAACATTATGTCTATCTCAGGAAAGTCTGTCAGAAAGTCTTCTTCCTCAAAACGGACCCAGAGGGCGAAATAACGAGAGACGACCCTGACTATTATAAAGCCCTCGAGGAAGAGGATGTAGAAGGTAGGGTACATGTGTACTTAAATAGATTATCTTACCAGAATTCTAAATATGAAGTTATGTAAAAGATTTGAAAACAAGGATAATATTCTTAATTTTTTAATATATACTTTCAAAGATTTTGACTGACAGATCAGACTTTTATATATTCAAACAAAGGTGTGTCTGTTCAGTTAATTAAGGTAATTGTAAGTTTAGCAAACATAGCTAGGTATCTCATTCTGGAGCTAGCTTATTATGAATTTGGAAATGAGGGCGTTTGAATGAGAACAGAATTTGTATGTGAATTACCAAGATGGTTTTGATTTTGAAAATAAATGCTTGAATTCGTGAGCAGATGGCTTATAGCCATTTACATCTTTTTACTGACTTTTTAATACTTACTTACTCACTACTATAGGACCTTAATTATAGTCTTTACAAGAAAATACAACTTGAAATGAAAAATATGTACAATTTACAATTTATTTTACAGACATGTTTGACTTCACAACCCCCCTCTCTGGTGAGGAACAGACAGCTCTAGTCCCCAAGAAGTCTGTCCACGAACAGGAGGACGGTACGGTGTACGCTATGTGTATAACAAGTGACTCTAGTAAAGAATCCCTACAAGACTGGGTACAGTTCCTACAGACCACAAACTCGGCACTGGAACATATACCGGTGTTATTTAGGATTAAAGACGCGGACTCTCTACTGAAGGAAACCATCAGGCAAGAGGAGGAGGAGGAGGAATTATGAGATCAGAGATTTTAGGGAAAATAAAAAAATTATCACTACATTGTTTAAATTTTTATCAATTATCTTACCAAGAACTAAGGCAATATTCAGATTTTTTTTTATCAAAAGGATTGCTTATTTTTTTTTTAAACTTTTCAGTTTTGATATCAAATATACAAAAATATAAAGGTCTGTTCCTTGATTACATATATTCAAGGTCATTAAATTTTGGATTTTGATTTAAAATAACATGTGTTTGTAAAACACTGATGTCCCCTTATGGCAGCCCAGTGCCAACATTATTAAGTCAAACTGCAAAGTCAAGAGTTTCAAAAATTTTGGTGTAAACAGAAAGTTTTTGTCACAAGGGATATACTTTTGAAATATGAAAAGCCTTAGCAACAACCATTTGAAGAGGATACTGGAAGGGTTAAAATTTTCAATCTTTAAAAGAAGTCTGTACTGTAAGATCAAGGTCGGGAGGTCAAATATATGAAAAGGAAAGGTCCGATGCATGCAGTAGAATGTAGTCTCGTATAGAAATAGAAGTTAAGCTCGAGTTTGTGTACATTAAATCTAAATGTACCATATACATTAAGATATGTTGAATTCTGACTAATATTTGAGGGCTTCAAAAGGGAAATTCAGTTACGATAAATTTCAATTTATCAGGATGAGGGAAGTGACTCAGGTGAGCGTTGTGGCCTACAAGCATTTAGTTCTTTCATTATAAAGCAGATGATTTCGCGTTCTGCACTTAAACATACATGTATAGTGGGCTGCATTTCATTTCCGGAATTTTTTGAAATTTTTCAACCTTTCATTTCCAACATTTTTAAGTTTTCATTTCCGAAATTGTAAAGTTTTCATCTTCGACATTGTTAAGTTTTCATTTCCCGGGTGAATTTCATTTCCGGAATTTTTCAGCTTTTCATTTCCGACATTTTTTAGTTTTCATTTCCGGCATTTTTAGGTTTTCATCTCCGACATTTATCAGGTATATGTAGTGCTTTTTGGTAATGAAAGCAGGATTAAAGAATTCATTTATGAAAAATTAAAAGAATGAATTATAGTGACCCCGGTATATCAAATGTTTGGGACAATTTTTTTTTAATTTTAATTTAGTTAACATTAAATTTGAAAAAAAAAATAAATAAATCCATGCTTATATTGAACTCTTTTAACTCGACTTACTGCTCGGCTTGGCCGAGAGCAGGTGCCCATGTTTGTTGCAGATTAGCCAAAATGAAGTCAAATAAATAGAGTTAAGAGTATGTCCTATGTAACACTACATCCCTTAGGCAGATTGTCAGAAATTTCTGTCCATTTCTGTCAAGCAGTTTAAAAGATTTTACTCTTACTATAACAGGGACCCACGTGGGCTACGGACTATACATATTCAGGCATAACATTTATTTTTATCATATTCTACTGAACAAAAATATATAATTCATATACAGTGTACAAAATATTCACAAAATATTGTCTGAGTAAAAAAAAACACACATACCATAGTAAGTCATTTCCATTAAAAATGTTTCAGTATGTAAAGTACATGGGTTAATCTGTTAATCTTTGAGAGTTTTTCTACTCTTAATATTTGGATATTTGAAGAAAAAATAAGTTAATGTGCTTTTAATATTTCTAAAGAAACTGTATATGGAATGAAAATTTCTAGCTTATTTGGTAATACTAGGAGAAAAACTGTCAGGTACATTTTTATGATTGACTATTTTGAGGCCTTGGGCTATGGACTATACATAGAGTATTTTTAATTTAAGGAGAGACCGTAGAAAAAACAGTTGCTTGTTTCAGTGAATATTTGTTAAAATTACCTTCTTGGAGTTTACATTTGTTTAAAAGATCCAGTCAGTTGGATATTAAATCAATTGATACAAAAATCCTGTGAAATTTAACAAAATAAACTAAAACTTAATAACTTCCCTATTCGAGTAAACTATTTATTGTCATAACAAAATAATGCATGTCAGAACTACATGTACATGTAATTTGGTATTTTCATAACAAAATATTGTCTAAAACCATCTAAAGACCAAGAATTTACTTTAATTTAGCATCTACTAAGGATGAATTTCATGAGAGCACTGGGGCTACGGACTACACTTTTAAACAGCTCTATAGTGGACAATCCTCTTAAAGAAAATTAAAATAGTATAATTAATTCTTGGGCATTTTTTTTAATTATTATTTTGGTTATCTACGACAGTTCACATCACTTTGATTGGGTATTTATAATACCATGTATTTGTAATACCATGCTTAAAGATCAAATGTCTAATGTACTGTGTACTTTCAATGGCAAATGAAATTTCAGTCAAACTAATTATAGCATTATTGGTGTTTATACTATAATGAACAAGCTAATTCATTATATTTTAGAATGTAGTGCTTTAAACCAATTAAGAAAAGTTTATTTGAACCAAAAATTCTGTTCTTATCCAAATATCATCAAGTTTTGTGAAATCATGTGCCAAAATGATGTTGATTCTTTGAAACAATTATGTACATTTATTTCTAAAATTAATAGTATTGTCTGTTCTCCTTAATTATCACCTTCTGCTTGACCCACTGTATTATATGTATATATGTTTTATATGTTTTGTACCTCATGTACCATTTACATGGTTTTGAGAGAATAAATTGAATTGAATTGAGAGAATTCGTGTCCCCCTCTTAGGGAAAAAGTCGGCTCCCCCTGACTGAATTTGTAGAATTATTAAATGTATACATGTATACTGAAGCAAATAAAATACATGTATGTCAATATGCATATAAAGATTTGATTGCTTATTCTGTATTATGTGTATAGAAGATTTTTTTATATGGAATGTTTATCACACTGTAATGATGATTTTATAACCTCGTAAATTTTTCATTTCACATGCTGAATACTATCATTTAGTAAAAAAAAAAGTATTTAAAAAAAAAAAGAAAGAAAGGATCGACCGAGATTCGATCCCGGGACCTCTCACATTTAAAGCGAGAGACATAATCACTAGACCACGGAATCGCTTTACGCGTTGTGAAGTATATGCAGAATTGAAGTCACATACATGTATATATTCATGTTTCCATGTTCGGTATTCTCAAAATTTTACATAATCCATGGTGTTTGATTTATTTAGCCTTTATTAAACAGTTCTAATAGATGTAATAAGAACATAAAGTCCGCCGAGAACCTGTTTTATACGCAATAACTCTCCTCATGCCCCTGCGCTAAAAATAGCGACATGTAATACTATAAATACTAATAAAACAAACGGGGCGGGGCACTTTGAGAGGGGCGAGAGACGTTCTAGGGAGTTTTGGTATAATTTAACATTGCATAAGCTCAAAATCTTCTTGAAATATCGCCCGGAAATGATAGTATTACATACAGACAGAATGTATAAATTTACGACCTTGAACTTTGACCTTTTGACCTCAAAATCAATAGCGGTCTTCATTAGGCCGCAGGGAGTTGTTATATAAAATTTCATTGCAATAGCTCAAATGGTTCTCGAGATATCGTGTGGAAACAAAAGTGTTTTAACAGACAGAATTTGCTTATTTATGACCTTGACCTTTGACCTTTTGACCTCAAAATCAATAGGGGTCTTCTTTAGTCCGACGGGAGTTGCTATGCTAAATTTCATTGCAAAAGCTCAAAGGGTTCTCGAGATATCGTGTGGAAACGAAAGCGTTACAGACAGACAGAAAGACGGACGGACGGACGGATTGGACAAACCCAAATTAATATCCCCCACTTTTCAAGCGGGGGACAAAAAAAGCAACATGAGCCATTATTAAGTCAAGGCCTGATTTTTTTTTTTTTGAGAGGTGGTGGTGTTACGGCTATATTTCTTCATAATTTTTATTAATTTTATTTTAATGTTATACATATAGCTCAAGATGGTCATTCAAAAGGTGTATCAGTAAATAATTTTTGATCATGATTATAGGCGTAATTCATAAAAAAACATAACAAAACATGATTGACCATTTGAAGTATAGAGAACCATAATACTAGTATTAAAATATTTATCCATGAAGAATCAATGTTTTTTTTAAAATTATTTGAAATTAACAATTCAGTGACAAGAAAGTTGGGTGGTGCAATTACGTAGAGTGAAGGTCTCACTTTATATCAAATCTCAAAGTAAGGTTTTGGGATCAAATCCCACTATGGGATGTGAAGACTGTTTAGTGAAAACTAATTATAAACAATTAAACCACAATTTGCAGTGATGCAACCAGGAAAAATCTCTTGCTGATAAAGAAGTATGGGTATATAGTCTGTAAATTTGCTAAATTTATTTGAAAAGTCTGTAGCCTTTTTGTAAATAGAATTTGTGTGGCCATATAATCTTTTAAAAAAGTTTCATTGCTAATTATTCTAAATGAATTGATGGTATGTAGTTTCAGAAGGAAAACGTTATCATATATATTTATAAATATGTTGTGACCACAAACAGAACAGGACAGACTACAGAAGCAAGCATTTAGTTGAAAAATGTTAATATTCAGGCACTATATTTTTAATTACAGATGATTATGTATTTAAAATATTGTATTTGTTAAAATAAACACATAAGTATATTGTAGTTATTGTATCAATAATGTATCTGACTTTTTCTGATGGTTGTAATATAGGGGCTACGGACTATACAGGGCTACAGACAACAATCATTCTTCTCTAACTTCTTTTGATGTTGTCGTAAAAGCTATTCAGTACTGTTTTTATTCTTAACTGGTAACTGTGAAAACATTAAACAAGAACATTATAAATTATACACTCTTCTGTTGAACACAAACTATAATGAAATATGGGGCTACGGACTATACAAAATATTAGATCAGTATGGAAAAAAGTATTGCAAAATGTGCACATAATTTACCATATAACCACTATACTTTTCTTATAGTACTTTTTTTCTTAAGTAAAATAAAATGTTTATATGCATTATATTTGCTCTTTTTCTGCTAGAAATTATGAATTTATTCCAACATTGATAAATCTTAAATTATATAACAAAGGTAAATCTGCACACATTTATTCATAAT